GTGAACATCACACTCACACTCACCAAAGAAAGCAAACATCACACTCACCAAATAAGGTGAACATCACACTCACACTCACCAAAGAAAGCAAACATCACACTCACCAAAGAAGGCGAACATCGCCGTACGGTTGAGACTAGAAGGTAAGCCGTCGCGGCCCTTGAAGATCGCGTCGCTGAGTAGGCGCGGGTTGGGTCGGTCGACGCCCGCCATCTTGTAAACACCGTCGGCGTACGCGACGGGGGTCTTTCTTGAGAAGGCGCTGTCTGTAAGAGCGAAGCGACGTGCGAGTGTCAACGAAGATGTCAGATAGTATAGACAGTATTAGACACGCACACACACACACACACACACACACACACACACACACACACACACACACACACACACACACACACACACACACACACACACAGACAGCGAACATGCATTACCAGCAACATACACACTAACGACGTAAACATCACTCGCACCATCCCCTAGGGGGCGTTAGAATCGCCGACACAAGCCTTTCCTCATCGGGTCCATGAGCAGACGTATATTCATTTATTTACGGATAAATTCAAATTAAGTTACTTGTCAGGTGGTACGATTAATTAATATAATTGATTAATCATCTCTCAAGGTAGCAATTAACATACCTCTCTCGGATGCGGGGAAAATGCGGCTCGTCTCGTCACGTGTTCGTGACGTATGGATGACGTCACGGTTCCTTCCTGCAAGCAGAATGTTGCACGTTAGCACCAGGGGTCGCTGCACGCACCACGAGCACGATTACTCTTCACCAGGGGTCGCTGCACATCTAGCTTAATTACTCTCCGCAAGGGGTCGCTGCACACAGAGCTTAGTTATTCTACACCAGGGGTCGTAGAACACTGGCGAGTACAATTACGTCATCGTTCGTCATTACATGCGTTAATTAACGAGAAATCTCTAATCATCTTCTTCTTGTCTGATTATATTGCTCGCTCAGCTGCGTTCTAGGTTCACGGTAATTTGTGGAGCGAGACAATAATTGTCACGTCGCTCGCACACCTGCTGTCGCACTCGTTCAGAGCCCCTCCTGCTGCTACCGATACACCACCCACCCCACCTGCTCCAACCCCCCACCGCCCCATCACCATACACCACACCACTTCACACACTCCCCTCCCCCTCACCACACCACTTCACACACTCCCCTCCCGAGAAAAGAGAGAGGAGAGACTGAGAAGAGAGAAGGAGAGACGAAGCAGACAGATTAGAGAGAGAGCGAGCAGAGAGTTAGAGCGAAGAGAAATAGAGCGAGTGAAGCAACATAAAGAAGCGAGGAGAGAAATGAGAAGAGATGAGAAACAAGAGAGCGAGCCCGAGAGAGAGAGCCTAAAGAAATAGACGCGAAGGCGACAACAGACGAGCAGAAGATGAGATAAAGGGTGTGCCGTTTTGAAGAGAGACAGGCAGACGGACAACAGAAGAGAGCGGAGAAGAAGAGAAAGCGAGAAGAGAGAGCAACCACCGTTTGCTATTCAGCCTTCCACAAACGCCGCAAAAAAAAAAAAAAAAAGACCCATGAGCGTGCCACGAATATATCAGCCCGTTGATGTGCCCACTGAATTTAAGCCTCTAATCACCGATAGCTTCCCCGTAGCGATTGTACCCGGCGATAAAGAGAGCCAAAACTCACACGCACCGCTTACCAGCGCACGCTGCTGTTGTTTCTAATGTTACCAACTGGAAGCATCATAAGAACCCGCTATAATCTAGAAATTCTCCTCTTCCCTTGCTCTGAATACGGTAAGCTGGACATTCCGTTCGGCCCATTACATGCTATATCCTGTTGTGTGGTTGGAGTGTGACTGTGGTGTGCTGTATATTGTGGTGTGCTGTGTGCGTGTGTGTCTATGTCTGTGTGTGTGTGTGTGTGTTTGTGTTTGGTGTGTGTGTGTGTGTGTGTGTGTTGTGTGGTGTGTGCTGTGCTGGCTGTGTGTTTGTGTGGTGTGTGTGCGCGCGCGTGTGTGCTGTGTCCAGCTTGCGCCACTGCCCGTGTGTCGTGTGCGTGTGGTGTTCGTGCTGTTTTGTGTGTGTGCGTGTACGTATGTGTGCATTTATATGTATGTATGTATACATATCCACGATGTATGATATATAAGCACTTTATGCAATCTTGATTGTCCAATTATGCGTAGTTCCAGTCGTATCGATAGTTCTAGTATCTAGGCTAAAGAGTTCAAGCTAACGTTCGATTCCGGCCAGTCATTCCGAAATCATAGTTGTCATTGTCATCATCCCCTTCGTCATCTCGTTTATCATCAATCGTCATCATCATTTTATCGTATTATCGTCGTCATCATCCATCGTCATCATCATATCATCCATCATCATCTACCATTTCTCTCCTCCCCGTTGTTCATCCGACCTATTTAAGGTGAAAATCGCGTCGTAGGAAAATCACCTCACAGCTCTCGCCTACACCCGGGAACAGCCAACAGTGAAAGTTGGCAATGCAAGTGCATTTACTCGTTTACCCGATGAGCACGATGCGCAGTCCCCTACAGCCGTTGCGGCATGGGGCGTCAAAAAGACACAGGACAGCTATAGTTACCCCGCGTGCGCGTGTTCATCTATTCTTTATCCTTGATGCAATCCTATGTCTTATCCTATGAATCGTATTTCTCATCCGTATAATCCGTATTGTTCTTTATCCTAATGAATCCGGATCTAATCAGATTCCACATCGTTATCCGATTCAACATCCCATTACAATTGATAACCCGAGAATGCGAGTAAACTGGCGTGTGAATTTCTTCAGTCAGAGTCTTCACTGCTTCTGTCGGCCCTATATAGTATCTTATCAAAACATCGAGATTTCTGCGTTAGTATATCGCATAGTATCATATCATTATGTGCATAGCTGATCGATAGTGAGCTTAGTGATAGTGATCGATAGTGACTTTAGTGGATAGTGATCATAGTATGTTAGTAATCATATGTAAAGTATCTGATAGTTTACGTGCCTTGGGGTTCACAGCTAATAGAATGAACCAGGATCACACTTCGCTGTGGCGACACGCGATTCACAACCATATTATATTACATATCATTATAGATGAGATGTACGCGTATTTTTAACATCGTTTCTTAAATTGCTGAACTAGACTTCTCTAATTCAACGTAAATATAAGAGAATGTTGGCTGACGATATGAACGGTATTAATTGACGATTTTCGCCTGACATATTTTAACAGGCATTCGGTGAACGACACACTCAAATATGATGGCGACAACAACTTGCGTCCACCCAGCTCGGCTCTGCCAGCGTAAGCTTACAGTTCTCAAGCACACGTATCTTCCTCTACCAGCTATAGTTACACGCTAATAGGTACGCACTATAGTTTTAGCGTGTGATC